AGATATTCAATTACACAATTTGGGATGGAGAGAAAGACCTTTACTGGATGGGAGATTCACATCTTCAGCCTCTCCAGAGAGTCAAATTTGAATCTTCTGTAGGAGTGAGGGAGAGGATCTGGGGTCTAATTAATGTTATTTTTTAAACAACAGCTTTATTGTGGCATAATACACAGAAATAAAAAATTACCCAACTGTGTAAAATTCAGTGGTTTTAGTACTTTCACAGAGTTGTGCAAACGTTGTTGTTGTTAGCTACTGTAGAGTCAGCTCCCAACTCCTGGTGAACCCAGGCGCAAAGGGATCAAACCATTGTGATCCATAAGGTTTTCCTTGCCAATTTTTGAAAGTAGATCACCAGACCCTTCTTTCTAGTCTATTTTAGTCTGGAAGCTCCACTGAAACCCATTCAACATCATAGCAACACACAATCCTCCATGGACAGATGAGTGGTGGCTGTGCTTGAGGAGCATAGGCTGGAATTGAACCTGGGACTCCTGCATGGAAGGTGAGAATTCTACCAGTGAACCAGCACTGCCCTCTGTGCCATTGTTGTTGTTGTTAGCTGCCATCAGTATTCCACCTCATGGAGACTCCATGTGCAACCATTGCCACTATGTAATTTCAGAACATTTTCTTTACTCAAAAAGAACCTTAAACAGTCTCTTTACATTCCCCCACTCCCTCCCCTCTAGACTCTTGACAACCACTAATCTGCTTTCTGTCTCTATGGATTTGCCTATTCTTGACATTTCATATAAATGGGGTCATATAATACAGAGCCTTTTGTGTCTGGCTTCTTCATTTATAGATGAACATGTTTTTGATGTTCATCTATGTTGTAGCATGAATTAGTGCTTCATTATTTTTTATGGCTGAATACTATTCCATTGTTTGTGTATACCACATTTTGTTTATCCATTTATCAGTTGATGGGCATTTGGTTATTTTTAGTTTTTGGCTATCATGAATAGTGTTGCTGTGACCATTTGTGTACAAGGGATTGTGTGAACATATGTATATTCATTTCTGAGTGCTGCCATAACAAAGTACCATAAACTGGTGGCTTAAAACAACAGAAATTTATTCTATCCCACTTTTGGAGTCTAGAGGTATTGGCAGGGCCATGCTTCTCTGAAGCCTCTACAGGAGAATCCTTCCTTGACTCTTCCAGCTTCTGGTGGCCCCAGGAGTTCCTTGACTTGTGCCAGCATAACTCCAAACTCTGCCTCTGTATTCACATGGCCTTCTTCTCTGTGTTCCTGTTTATGTCTTCTCCTGTTTTTATAAGGACATCAGTCATTGGATTTAGGTACTACCCTAAATTCAGTATGATTTGTTCTTGAGTTCCTTAGCTAATTACTCTACAATGAATTTAATTCTAAATAAGGTCGCATCCTGAGGTTCTGGGTGGACATGAATAAACAGGGGACACTATTCAACCCACTGTAGTATGTTTTCAACTCTCTTGGGCATACTTCTAGGAGAAGTGTTGAGTTCTATGATCACTCTGTCCTATAGGGTCACTATGAGTCGGAATCAACTCAACAGCACACAACAACAACATGGTAACTCTATACCTAACTGCTTGAGGAACCGCCAAAATCTTTTTCGTAGCAGATGCACCGTTTTTTATTCCCACTAGCAATATATGAGGGTTCCATATACTTGTTATTGTTTATCTTTTTGAATAAAGACAGTCTAGTGGGTGTGAAGTGGTATTTCATTGTGGTTTTGAGTATCATTTGATATCCTTATTGGTCATTTAAAAATTTTCTTTGGAGCAATGTCTATTCAAATTCTTTGTCCATTTTTTAATTGGAATATTTGCTTTTTAAAATTGAATTGTAAAATTTCATTATATATTCTAGATGTAAGTCCCTTATCAGATGCATGTTTTTCAAGTATTTTCTCACATTCTGTGGATCGTCTTTTCACTTTCTGGATGGTGTCCTTTGAAGCACAGAAGTTTTTAATTTGATGAAGTTTAATTTACCTATTTTTTCTTTTGTAGCTTATGCTTTGGTGTCATATCTAAGAATCCATTGCCTAATCAACGTCTAAAAGGTTTAACCCTATATTTTCTTCTAAGAGATTTACTGTTTTAGCTCTTTCATTTAGGTCTGTGATTCATTTTGAATTGATATTTGTATATGACAGGAGGTAGTGGGTTCAACTTTATTCGTTTTAACACCACCACAATCAGGATAAAGAAAAATTCCATCAACTCAAAAATCTTTCTTGTGCCATCCCTTTGTATAATCCCTTGCCACGCTCCCTGGCAAGCACAGATCTGTCTGTTCTCCATCATTGTAGTTTCGTGTCTCTGAGAATGTTGTATAAATGGAATAATACAGTATGCATTCTCCTGAGACTGTGGAGGAAAAGGTACTTTCCCTTTTGGCAACAGGGAAAATTCAATTTTTTATTCACCCTTACAATTTAAACGCCATTTCCATGCGCTAAACTAAAGTACACCTGTTCTGCAGAACCCCAATTACCGTGTTGTAGAGGGACCAGCGTAGCCCAGTTCTCAGTCAAGGTCCTAGAAAAAAGGCAAAGGGGCGAGGCTCCAGCCTGTGAGTGAGGCTTCCGTTCTCCATGAGCAGGGTCAGAGTTTGCTACTAACTTTGAGAACTTTGACAAGAGGAAAATGACTAGAGAGGAAACGGCTGGAGTTGAGGGTAAAGGCTCCACTGAGGCTTTGGGAGCCTGCTTTGCTTTCCCAGTCTGTTTCCCGTAAGGAGAATGAGGCTGACCACAGGGGCGCGCGGGCAGCACGCTCACGAATGGTGGGGTTTATGTTACGGAACCTAAGCCTAGGGAACTCAGCTCCACTTCAGCAGAAAAAGTTGGGAAAACGCCATCTTTCCAGGCAGCGCGCTGGGCGGGACAAGCTCGCCAACCGGAAGCGCCTTTACGTAATGTCGCGCGCCGAGGGGCGGGGTCCGGAAGTCGTCCCCGAAAGCATTTGAGTGTGGCATTTGAGGCGTCTGGGGATGGAGACTTCACTCGGGAACCACTACTGGTGTGATGAATGGGTATTTTAAGAAGAGACTAGAGAAGCTGTCGCCCAGTGGCTGTTATCAGAGTCCATGACCCGCGTGGCTCACAAGCCTCTCTTGGGACGGCCAATGGGAGCCGCAGGCCGCGAGGATTCTGGGAACTGTAGTTCTGGCGGAGTACCGCGGCCGGTGACTGCACGGAGCGAGCGAGGCCCTCACGGGTCCTTGAGCCCCGAGCGTCTTTTCCCCGCGGTAAGGAGGGTCAGGAAAGCTGGGGCCTAGCGTTAGGGCCCGAGGTGGAGCTCGGCGGGCAGAGGAGAGGGCCCGGCGGCGGGCGGGGGCTGCGCCCTGGAGGTTCAGCGCCTACGGTTCCGGATGTTTCATTTTGGAGAAGGGGGCGCGGCTGAAGAAGCGCATTTGGGGCATGGAGGTTGAATAAGACGCAACCTTGACAGCTTGAATTGCAGGGCGCTCCGCGGACTTTAGCCCCCCGGTTGGCGCTGGGGCGAGAGAGACCTGGAATTTCGAATTTCCTTTTTGAAAGGGGTGGGATTAGTCTGGGACAAACAATTCCCGAATAGAGAGGGCTGCTCCGGTTGTCATTCCCGGGATTACTTGGTCTGTGGGGATGAGTTCAGCCAGGGGCAAGTAGACTAAAACCCCGTGTCGGTGGAGGCACGGCTAGGGATATAAAACCCCGGGGTTTTGGGCGGGGCTAGGCAGGGGAGCGCTTACCTGGTCCTGCATTTCCAAGTCATAGTGGGAATCCAAGACTTGTCGTGCATGTAAAGGTTTATTTCTTTTTGGTGGGGGCTGGAGACATCCCAGCTGGTAGTTGAGAGGGCCCTGGGGGAGTATCTCACGACCTGCTGTGTTATTGTTGGGGTAGGGGTGATCGGAGGTGAGCTTGATATTGGTATAATACTCCTAGGGGTTCGTGGGAGAGTTTGTCGGGTCTGGAGTCCCTCGGGATTTTAGGGGATGGAGGAGGTTTCTTCCTGGGACCGACAGCGAAACATACTCTGGTGGTGGTGAACTGCAGGGCCGGGGCCTGCATGCAGGCAGTTTTTTTTTCTGAGTGGGGGCAAGGCTGCTTCTCTGAGACCTGCTATCCCCAGTGTTTGTTGGGTGGCAGGGGCTAGCTCTACTTTGTGACAAAGATACCCAGTTTAGTTGTAGTGTGACTGTCCATTTGGCTGACTCCCCCATCCCCTGTCTACTTAGGCCTCAAGTGTTGGGGCTCAGCTGGCCACCTCTGGTTTGCGACTATATAGGGGGGTTAGGTAGGGTGGGAACATCTGAGGGCTGTTGGCTGACTCTCCAGATCACTTCCAGCATCTCTGGTGGGGTTCAGGTATCAGGACTTCAGTTTTTCATTGAGGACAGACTTTAAACCTACTTAGTAGAATAGTACAAGAAACCCATGAATAATCTTGTTTCATCTACATCCTCTCAACCCTGTGTGTGGATACACTTGAAGAATTGTTAGATCCTTCAGGGTTCATCACTGCTGACATTATTACTGCCTACCTGGCTAAAAATGTGGCACTCCACAGCTAGAGTTCAAATATAGGCACTTTAGTTTTGTTATCTTGAGCCAGATGTATAACGTCTCTGTGCCTCAGTTTACCATAAGCCCTAACTGATAGTACTCTTGGGAGATAAACTTGTACAATGCCTGGAAGTGTTTCTGGTATGTAGTAAGAGTATAGTATTAACTATTTTAAATAATAATACAACTTGTGGCCTTGAGGCACAAAAATGATGAATTCCCTACTCAGTATTAGCTTGATGTCAGGGCAGACTGTATTCTGATGTAAACACTTGTGCACTCTTCTTTCCTGTGACAGATCTGAGGCGTTTGTTTCATTTGAAACTTGAGATTTCCTAGCCTGATATGTGGGGACAGAAAGAGAAAGTCATTAGGCTCACACTGTCTTTTTCATTCCCAGGTCCACCTCACATCGTTGCCTGTCCTGAGAGGACCGTGTAGAGAAAGGGAGGACTCCTGGCTCCTGTCAGACTCCTTCTGGGTGGGTACCACTTGCCTTTCACATTCCTACAGTATGTCATCTGCTCCGTATAGTGGGTGAATGTGCTTTGCATGTCCTTGACATTTTGTGCCCTGCAGTATCCTGTTTGAGGCTCAGAAGCCCTGTCTGCTTTTCTATGTACCAGGCCTATTTTAAGGAGAAGAGCCTGTACAAGGAGTGTTACCCCAGACCTGTGGTCTCATTCAGGTTACCACCATTCTTGCCTCAGCAGCATTTTATCCTGGTAGCTGGATTCCAATGACTGTGCCAGCTGCTGTGAAAATAAGAATAATAGTTGTCGTCATTTATGGGCAGTTATTCTTTGCCAGACACTGTACCCGACCGCCAGTGCGATACTTGATTCCCTCAGCCAATTTGAAAGTTAGTAATCAAAATTCCCATTTTACAGAAAAAGTAGTACATTACAAAAGTTAAAATGAGTATAACATGGCTGGGGTCAGGATTGTGAGCTTCATGAGTTATGTACACTCTGCTGTTCTTGTTTCATCCAGTAACCCCAACCACCATATTTTGTTTTCTCTGCTAGAGTATTTGGAAGTATATCGTAGACATACCATTTCACCTGTAAATACTATAGCATGCATTTCCAAGAGGTAAGGATAGTTTTTTGAAAATACAACTAGAGTATTCTTATTGCAGTCAACAAAATTAACAGTAATTCTTTAATGCCTTAATACTCAGTTTGTTTTGAGTTTTTTCCATTTGTTCTAAAAATGTCATTTTACAGTTCAAACCCTTCAGTCTTTCAACAGGAAGAAGCATTATAGGTAGGAGCATCTACAATTCAGCAAGGTGAATTTTCCTTTTTCCTTGTTTTTTTCTTTACCTACTGTTGATTTCTGTTAATGGCTGCAACTTCCACACCTGCTCACAAACTGGAACACTTGAGTCCTTACCTCCTTGTTATTTTATATTTTCCATCCATCTAATTAGTTATTGAGTCTCTCAATTCTGCCTTGATAGGTATGCCCTTTTGTTCTTCCCCTCCCTTTGTGTCTACTTCTGTGCTACCCAGATTTTCATCTCTTCTCCACATTTCATTTACCCTTCACCCTGTGTTTTGAGTTGTTTCTCTGAGGCAAAAGTGATTATGCCACTCACCTACTAAAAAGGACCATTTCTAATTGCCTACCTCTGACTCTGCCCGAACTCAATAAATAGTGACATTTCCTTCCCTTTAGGTAGACTCGGGTGTTTTTTGGTCCCCTGGCTTGTAGACGATCCTCACGTCATCTTTCCACCACGTGTGTTTTCTGTTCTCTTTTTATAACTCAGAAGTGATTAGGTTTAGGACTCACTCTATTATGCTGTGACACAAACTGATTCACTGATGACATTACATTAGAATGCCTTGGAAAGGTGATTGCATTATGTTACAGTACATGTGAAGTATTTACATTGGATTACATCCACAGGTATAAAAGTTAGGACTGCAATACATATTTGTTGGGGGGGGATACATAATTCAATTCATAACAATTACTCACAGCTTTAAGAGGAAATTAGTTCAGATGGCTTTTTTACCTTTGCCAAATTCCCTCCTGTGCTGTGTTTATGTGTTTATTCTCCTGGCTCCCTCTGTACTGGATCATCCCAGTTAATTGTATAACTCTGCTGAAGGCCAAAACTTCTGTCAAGCAATCCTCCCTACATATTTCTGTCTCCTGATTCTGCTAGCTGCCCACACAACCTTTAGACCTAGGGTTGGTAAAGATCACTCTTCTGTTGGCTTATAATACTGTGATGGCTTGCATGTTGCTGTGATGCTGGAAGCTATGCCGCCAGTATTTCAAATACCAGCAGGGTCAGATATGGTGGACAGATCTTCTGGACTAAGTGTAGGAAGAAAAACCTGGTGGTCTACTTTTGAAATAATCGGCCAGTGAAACTTTGTGAATAGCATTGTCTGATATAGGGCTGGAAGATGAACCCCTCAGGTTGGAAGGCACTCAAAAAACAACTGGGGAAGAGCTGCCTCCTCAAAGTAGAGTCGACCTTAATGACATAGATGGACTCAGGCTTTCAGGACTTTCATTTGCTGATGTGGCATGACTCAAAATGAGAAGAAATGGCTCCAAAAATCCATTAATAATTGGACTGTGGAATGTATGAAGTATGAATCTAGCAGAATTGGAAGTGGTCAGAAATGAAATGGAATGTATAAAGATTGATATCCTAGGTATTAATGAGCTGAAATAGACTGGTACTGGCCATTTTGAGCCAGACAGTCGTATGGTCTACTGGGAATGACAAAGAGGAATGGCATGGCATTCATCATCAAAAAGAACATTTCAAGATCTATCTTGAAGTATAATGCTGTCGGTGATAGGATAATACCCATATGTCAACAAGGAAGACCAGTTAATACGATTATTATTCAGATTGACACACCAACCACTAAATGCCTAAGTTGAAGAAATTGAAGATTTTTACCAACTTCTGCAGTCTGAAATTGATCAAATGTGCAATCAAGACGCATTGATAGTTCCTGCTGGTTGGGTGCAAAAGTTGGAAACGAGGAATCGGTAGTAGGAAAACATGGCCTAGGCGATACACATTTGGAGAGCTCATGATAGAGTTTTGCAAGATCAACGACTTATTTATTACAAATACCTTTTTCCAACAACATACACAGCGACCTTACACGTGGACCTAACCAAACAGAATACACAGGAATCAGTTCGACTACATCTGTGGAAAGAGACGACGGAGAACCTCAATATTATTAGTCAGTACAAGACCAGGGGCCAGCTGTGGAACAGACCATCACTTGCTCATATGCCGGTTCAGATTGAAGCCAAGAAAATTAAATGCACAAGAAGCAAGCTACAACTTTCAGTATATCCTACCTGAATTTAAGATTATCTCAAGAATAGATTTGACACACTGAACACTGATGACTGAAGATCAGATGAGTTGTGGAATGACATAAGGACATTATATATGCAAAAGCAAAAAGTCTTTAAAAGGACAAAACGGAAAGAAAAGATCAAAATGGGTATCAGAAGAGACTCTTAAAACTTGCTTTTGAACATTGAGTAGCTAAAACAAATGGAAGAAATGATGAAGTAAAAGAGCTGAACAGAAGATTTAAAAGGGCAACTCAAGAAGACAAAGTAAAGTATTGTAATGAAATGTGCAAAGACTTGGAGTTAGACAACCAAAAAGAAAGAATACACTCGGCATTTCTCAAGCTGAAAGCGCTGAAGGAAAAAATTCAAGCCTCCAGTTACAATTTTAAGGATTCTACGGACAAAATACGAACAACACAGGAAGCATCAAAAGAAGATGCAGGAATACACAGAGCCACTGTACCAAAGAGATTTAGTTTTTCAGCCATTTTAGGCAGTAGCATATGATCAAGAACCATTGGTACTGAGGGAAGAAGTCAGTTTACACTGAAGGAATCTTGGAAAAACAAGGCTCAAGGAATTGACAGAATACCAACTGAGATGCTTCAACAAATGAATGCAGCACAGGAGGTGCTCACTTGTGTATGCCAAGAAATTTGGAAGATGGCTTCCCAGCCAGCCAACTGGAAGAGATCTATAATTGTATCCATTCCAAAGAAAGGTGATCCAACACAAAGAGGAAATTATCAATATCGTTAATGTCACAAGCAAGTAAAATTTTGCTGAAGATAATACAAAAACGATTGCAGCAGTATGTCAGCAGGAAACTGCTGGAAATTCAAGCTGGATGCAGAAGAGGACGTGGAACGAGGAACATCCTTGTTGATGTCAGATGGGTCTTGTCTGAAAGCAGACAATACCAGAAAGATGTTTGCTTGTATTTTATTGACTGTGCAAAGATATTTGATTGTGTGGATCATAACAAATTATGGATAACGTTGCAAAGAGTGGAAGTTCCAGAACACCTAACTGTGTGCATGAAAAACCTGTACATTGACCAACAGGCAGTTGTTTGAACAGAACAAGGGGATACTGTGTGGTTTTAAAGTCAGGAAAGGTGTGCGTCTGGGTTGTATGCTTTTACCATACTTTTTTAGTCTGTCTTGGGAGAAGTACAGCCAGAATGCTCCTTATACGCAAGGATGTCGAGACTTCATCTCACATTCTCTGGACATGTTATCAGGAGGAACCAGTCCCTGGAGAAAGGTATCATGCTTGGTAAAGTAGAGGGTCAGTGAAAAAGAGGAAGACCCTCAATGAGATGGATTGATGCAGTGGCTGTAACAATGGGCTCAAGCATAGCAATGATTGTGAAGATGGCGCAGGACTGGGCAGTGTTTTGTTCTGTTGTACATAGGGTCACTATGAGTGGGGACTGACTCAGTGGCACCTAAGAACAACAACAACAAATTCAGTCTGTATGCTGAGCAAGTAATCTGAGAAGGTGAACTGTGTGAAGAAGAACACGCCATCAGGATTGGAGGAAGACTCATTAACAACCTGCGATATGCAGATGACACAACCTTGCTTGCTGAAAGAAAAGAAGATTTTAAGCCAGAAGTAAAAACTTATCTGCGGATGACAAAGCTTAATATGGTGATGATAACTTATAATGATAATACTTCTTAAAGGTAAAGAACTGATTTGAATTAATTACAAAAGTAGTGCAAAGCCAAATAAAGTCAATTAAAAAAAAAAACAGACAAAAATATCTCTAAACATAGCAATTAACCTTACTTTCAAAGAGCTTCAGATATAACGGATAATAATCTTGAGATGTAATACCATCTAGTCAAGATGTACCGAGAATATACCAAGATGATTATCAAGTCTCTGTACATCTGAATAGTAATGAAAAACTCCATGGGCAAATGATGTGAATTCCCCAGTTAAACCACTGGCTTTGATAATGCTAGACTCAAAAGAATAAAGTTGTGAACATGTTGGCAATTAAAGAAGTAAGTGATAAAATTTTGACATAACATTATGCACTGGTTGTCTAATATCAGGCAAACATCACTGACGCATAAATTGTAACTCAGAAAATTTGGCACTTCTCCTGATTTGACAACATGTTTCATGTAACTTATAACACATTAATAAACCTTTTTCTTTTAGCACGCTTCCCTTTTTAAAGCGGAACAAATCTTTTATGGCTTTCCACAAAGTTCCAGAGTTGTCAAGAGTTTATCATAGATTAACGACAAGCAATATTTTGAGTTATTTAATTGAAGATCTTAAAGGTAAAAACCTTAGCTTTTCTCAAAGCTACACATCTTAGTTTTCAACTCAGGAATTTTATTGTAATGAGAGGCTGAACCCTTGCCTTTGAGCTAGATTACACAAAGAATAAATTAGCTATTTAACCCAGTAATTAAAGAAATTTTGTTATTTTAACAATGAGAAATCAAGCTCTTTGCTTTACATGCTTATTTAACATCAGAAGTTCTTAAAGAATCTCAAAAATTAACCCATCAAACTTTAGCCAGTCAGATAAAAACTTTGACCGTATTAAATAAATTCCCTTGTTAATAAACCTTTTAAATTTCTTGTCCTTTTTACATGTCTGTTGCAGCACTGAATATACTTATTGCTAGACCCAGGTTTCAATGTGTATTTCTTTGTGGCATAAAAAGAGCCTATAGACTTCAATTATGATGAGTATTTATTAACTCTTTTTAATATCAGTAAATTAACCAAAAATGTTGAAATAAAGTTTATTTAAATAGCATTTTCATTCAGCCCTTTTTCATTTCCTTTAATGTTCAATTTAACCTTAGCTTTTATTAACTTTTTTGTTGTTGTTGTTGTTTTTTAGAATCAAAATGTCTCCATTCCATCCTACCATTTCATTTCAGGCGTGTCTCTTTGTGATTTCTA